AAAAGAAACCAAAGAAGCTGCGCAGGACAGCTAAAGAGCCACGCAAGTTAACAGCGGTTACAATTAGACGGTGGAACGACAGGTCTTTTTTTTTGTTGTTGTTGTTCCTTTTATCTTTAGTTTTTTTTTTCTTTTTTTTAAAAAATCATCTATTACTTATATTCCAAAAAAGCATTGAAAAAGAAAAAAATGGTTCTCATGAAATAATTTGCTTATTAGGAAGATAAAAGAAATGTCTTCCTGCTGTCACATCATGAGACACTGTACATCGAACTCAAAGTCAGGTCTTCCATCAAAAGTGGTATGGAAGAAGATTGTAGGGGGATGGAGACAGCAACATAGCCCCAACAGCTATGAAACATTGGTCTCCTGCCAATCTCCCGACAAAGTGCATGAGTGTGGACTCCACTGTGGTCTGTCAGGGTTTCTGTAGGGGACTCAGTGGCCCAGAGGCCACTCTGCACCAAGCGCTACAGTATTGGAGTAGGGTGCTGTTCAAGTTCACACAAAACTGAAGCGAATTCCAGAACATTTAGCATCATCACCAGAAATGAAGACCCCTCCAGGTTATGGAGCTGCACAACTCTCCTAATCGTTTCCCTGGCCTTCCCCATTGAGTGCACGAACGAACGAACAAGCAAGTGAGCGAAAACACACACACCCACCCACCCACACACACACACACACACACACACACACACACACGGTTCATACGGCTCAGAATTCCTACCAAAGTCACATTCTTTCCAATTTTTCTTTAAAGAGGGACTTAATGATTTTTAGAAAGGTGTAAGCAAAAGACATGTAAGTAATTCACACTTCTCTCTAGGACTCTGGCTTCATGCCGTCATACCCACTGGCCCCAGAATATAGTCTATTTGGGGGAAGCCATGTACTTAGAAGTCATGGTCTATTTAAATCACACCTACCATTCAAAATGTGCATGGACATTGACTTGAAAGCTTCTGGTTTGTGTTGCAAGTGCTTTAAAACTCCAGTGATGTCCCCTGAATCAAAGGACTGCAACTTCTAGTGACTCACTTCCCATTATTAGCCGACAGGACCGGCTGATGCTCCCTGGAGGGCAGCCTCCCTTGAGTTCATAGCAGGCTGCTTTATTTCCAAGCATGCACCTGCCTACACATGAGGTTCAAGTTGGGTCTCATTCAAAATTGCCCCTGGTGTCTGCAGGACAGGAGACTTGTCTAAAGAAAGAGTCCCTGCAAAATTGGGCCGATCGATCATGAGGCATTACGGCAGCACATGAACTGTATCTCACACCATCCTTTGTTTGATGTTTCACTTCAGAGGCAGTGCGCACACCTGCCCAGCCCACTGCGGAAGGCTGTGGCTGTGGAGCCTGCAGGCTGGACGGCGGCTACCCCTGTGGACAGCTCATGCATGCAAACTGCTCTCAACACTGGACAAGTCAGTGCCTCCCCAGCTGCTGCTTATCTGGACTGGCCATCTCTGGGCCAGAACACTGTTTGTGTCTCTGCAGTCAAAGGCCTTCTGCCTCTTGAAAAAGATGAGTGTGCCTCTGTTAAAGCTATCAGTAAGGAACTTCAAGCCCGTCTGTGTTCTACCGAGCTGGCCTCTCAGAAATGACTGAAGAGTTCCCAGCAAACCAGAATCATTTGAAAACAGACCTCTCTGTGTATGGTGAACAGAGAAATTCTGCCTCACTCCTCTGCCAGATGTCCTTTGATGGGCACACACTGACATAATGTAGCTACAGTGTGTTTTTGACAGGGTGGACCAGTATTTGTTTCTTCTTGGCATTTAAGGAACATCAAAGAACAAGGACAATCTGGCTCTTGGGAGAAGTGTTTCAAGGCCCAGGAGACCCAAGAGCCTCACTGCTGGTCACAGCAGGGTCCCTGGGGCGTCACTCTGCCTATGCCCCTGTTGGTGATCTCTGCCAAGTTCTCTCACCCTGTGAAGGCCTAAAGTGGCAGCTCTTGGGGAGACATAACAGAAGGATGACAGGAGGTCTTCCATGGACTGTTTGGCTCCCATCTGTCCCTCTAGCACCAGGAACAGGTCCTCTCCCTACCACCTCAAGTGTGAAATGCATAAGGCATTCTGAGTTTTACTTGGCCTCTTCTAGGCCCCATGTGAATGGCTGCAGAAAGCAAGCTAAGCAAGGCACAGACTGCCAGTGTTGGAGCTGCCGAGGCCGGGAGAGCTCATGTGATATCGGGTTTTGCAGGCAGCAGCAGTAATCATTGGGAAGAGACAGCTCACACCAACCTGCAAAGGGGCTGAGGCCATGATGACAGTTCCAAGAATGGGCTGCACATCACAAAAGCCAAAGCCATGTCACACCGGTGTGAGTGGAGACTGAACAGTATCGATGGGTCATTTGGTCTGTACAGAGCCCACCTTTTACAGTGCCAGTGGCTGCAGACAGGGCCAGCCTCCTATTGACCATCCAGGCTGTTCCTGGGCCATGACTGTTCATAAAAAGGAAGCAAATGAAGAAACATGAGCTCTTTAGAGAAAGCAGATGGAAGGGTGCTTAGTTTTGTGCCTTCACTGTGGGGTCTAAATCACCCTGCAGGGGACCCTAGGCTCTTAGGCTCCTGGGTTGCCAGAGTTTGGAGGATACTTGAGTCTTAATGGCACAAAAACTCTATTGTCCCCATCTACTGGCTACAGGTAGCTTGCCAAACTCTTTAATGGCTAACAACAAGTCTCAGCCCACTGTGATAACGACTTCCAGAACTTTCTACATCTCCATTTTCAGCTCTTTTGGAAGTCACTGTCATGAACAAAGGAGGGGCTTTAGCAACTATGACCCATGTCACCAGCTCACATTCCAGCCAGCCAGGACAGCCTCCACAGATACAGGCTCATCTGAAGCCAAGCTGAAGATCCCAGCATCCACTGCTTTTGGGCAGCCATGTGCCCAGTTATTGACAGACAGGGAGGCCAAGATGGCCTAAGAAGAGTCCCCCTTACCCCATGCTGGGTCACACCCAACCCAGTCTTTGTTCTCCTAGCACACCAGTAGGAGCTGCTCCTGACTTGAGAACTATTGGGAGCTGTGGGGAAAGGCAGGGCCAGCAGCACCCTGGGTTCAATTACACCACAGGTGACCACTCTGGTTGCAGACCACACCTCAACTTTACAGGTCCCCCTTAACATACCTTAGCGTTCCGTATGGCCAGCCTGCCTTCCTTTCCTATTCCAATTGAGTTCCTTGATCAGAGTGACTGCTCAGCTACTGCAAGGAAGGATGCAGGCTTGGAAATCACCACAGGGCCTGGGTCACACATGAACAATGCCTGCCACAGCCCCTTCCTCGGGCTGTTTCTCATTTATGACAAGAGGAAGAATTTCTAACTGTGTTGAACACGTATCTAGAGGGTTCTTAGAGAGATGGGGAATACCAAAGTTCCCCTTGCCCAAGGCATTTAGAATTTAGGAGATTCCCATGGGCAATCTCCCCTTGGGTAGGATGCCTGTGGACCTGAGTGCCCATTGGCTCCACTGAGACATCTCTGTGAGAGCTTTATAGCTCCAGGTCCTTCCTTAGCAGGGACTAAGGAAGGCAAGGCAGAGCTAGGCAGAGCAGAGTTGCTCTGTCACTAAGGCTAAGGGCTGCCACCTGGGCGGCTCTCTTACTCTCATGGCCAGTAGGGTATCTTCTCAATTGTTCAAACCCATCACAGGAGCCCAGCCAAGTTTCCAAGCCCAGGGTAGCTCCTACAGCAAGCTCTCCCAGGATCCTAGAAGCCTCATCTACAGGCCCTCTGCCTAGAAGAGAAGGTGGTCCCAAAGGCAATGGCCTCTGGGGGATCATGGCTGGGCTCCCTGCAGGAGGGTTTTAGAGTGTCAGGATGCTCCTATTGCCACAGTCCCTGCCTCCGAGCCACGTCTGGGTTTGACTGCAGTAAAGAGCATTCATTTCTGACCATCACCTCAGCAGAACAAAGACGGTGTATGACTCCACAGGCTATGAACTCTGTGGTGGGGTTTGATTAAAACACTAAATAGTGTTTATATGTTTAATTGAACAAATGTTTATTAAGCACCTATTGTATACCCAGCACTGTGCTAGGCACCCTCCTGCATCTGTTCCCACAGCATAAGCATATGCTCAGAAATAAAAACCATATAAAAACCAACCAACAATGACAGGAATATAGAAAGAAAGGAAGGAAGGAAGGAAGGAAGGAAGGAAGAAAGAAGAAAGGGAAAGAAAGGTAGGGAGGAAGGGAGGGAGGGAACATCATAACCACACAAATCAGGGGAGGATGGGGCACAGAGGGTACAAGTGATTTCCTGCCTGTATACACACCCCAAAACTTCTGAGGTTTCTTCCTCTGGATAAGTCTCCACTAAATGGTTCCTTCCTTTCAAGTAGGTATGTTTGACCTACAGCCTGAGGGCCACATGCAGCCAAGGATAAGTATGAATGTGCTCCAACACAAAATAGTAAACTTACTTAGAACACTGTAAGTCTTTTTTTGACAATTATTTTTTTGGGAGTAAGTCAAGTATGTCATACTCGAGTGTGAACTTCGTGGATGATGGTATTGTGTCACAACATCAAACTGTCACATATATTTGCTAAAGCATCAAAATGCATCCTGGGAAAAGATGCTCCCCCCATGTGTCTGTGCCTAGAATCTGCCGGAGAGTCACACACCCTGAATGCTACTCAATAGAAGGTGCCCAGTGGCCTGTTGTAAAGTATATTGATATTTGGATTAGAAAATACCTCCCCCCACCCCCAGTTCACAGGGTTGCAACAGCCCTTAAAAAAGATATAAACATCCCTGCCCTGACTGTAAACGGCTAAGGTAGACCAAGTTCTGGATTCCTGAGTCAGAAGCTCCCAGTTGTCCACAACCTCACAAGGCCAGAGAAGCATGGATTTTCTGTTCTGGAGGAGTGAGTGGACGGCACAACTGGTCTGGAGACAGACAGAATGCACCCACATTTACAGAGGCAACACACATGGAGAATGTCCTACGCCTACTTCGTCTCACACACACACACTCGCAACTCATGACCTAGGCCTAGTTATCTGTGCCTAACTTGGAGAGTCCTCGCCGGAAGTCGTGGAGGTCATCGATCTTTCCATCCAGCACCTCGAGGAAGCTCTTCAACTCCCCCTTAAGGTGGCGCTGCCGGTATTTGCTCTCCTCGATGTCTGTCTTTAGAGACCGCACTTTGTCTTCCAAGTTTTGGTTGTCTCTTTCGGCCGCCTGACAAGACAAAAGGGACAAGGGTCTGGAAAACAGCGGCGGATGGAGCCACCACTCAGAACAGTGCTGCCCTGAAGTGAGGGAGGAGGCCATATGGGGTCCTGACGCCATTGCTTTCCCAATGGCTCTCCAGAGGGAGGAGGATTAAAAGGGGTAGATAGCCAACAGCTGGCCTAAATACCCCAAGCAACAATGCAGACTGCAGAATCCTGCTCAAGGGGCTTCACAAAGACTCCAGCAGGGAAGCTCTGAGATCTGGGCCCCAGTCCTGGGTGGTCGGTGGAGGCAGCCTCTCATTTCTATCCTACCAAGGCCAGAGCAAATGGGGCAGTGAGTATGGCTTGCTTCCTTGGCCTCGGGCTGGCCTCCAGCCCTTTGTGAGGGAGGACTCCTACTGCCAAAGAAGAGCTTTATTCTGTGGGCATACCCCAGGACTTTCTTGAACATGTGCCCAGAAACTGATTACCAATACAGTCCTGAGTTGTGGGATTCAGTAAAGTGTCCCTTGTGTGTCAAGAGGACTGAAGTGAGGCGACTGCTGGTGTGTGTGTGTGTGTGTGTGTGTGTGTGTGTGTGTGTGTGCGCGCGCACGCGCGCGTGCGCGCGCATGTGCACATGTATGTATGTGAGTGAGAAGAAAGGCAGCTGGGGAGGGGTCAAGGTGAACTTGTCCCTGCCCCTGTACATCCAGGCTACCCATGTGCCTCTTTCCTCTGCAGAATTTTCTGTGGGCAAGAAACAGTCACCCACACTCTGTGCACAAGACCCTTTGTGTAAGTAAGAAAACCAAAAATCCCACCACTGTTGAGGCAGCCCCCAGGGGTGCTGGTGACACAAAACCACTAGCATTTTTTGAGTGGAAAGCCTCCTTTGATCCTCCTAGAAGTACAATTGAGGGAGAATGGAGAAAAGGAGCACACGCTGACTACCTCGAGGCCAACTCACATCCCCTTACCTCTAATTTCTCAGAGACATATTCACACTCGGACATGAGCTGAGGTATGATTTCACTTTGTTTTCGGAGATCTTTCAACTCCTGGGGGAGAGAGAAATTTTTAAAAAGACACACTCGAGAGCATGCACACATGTACACATACACACACACACACACACACACATACTCACAAGTGCATGCACGATTAAAAACATACTCTTGCAAACTGCTGAGCTGTGTGTACACTAGTGGGTGCTGTTCTCGGAGTCTGTCTTGCTCACATGAGTAACTGTGGAAGGATGTCCCTCTAAAGTGTCAGATGTCTGAGGGTGTAGTATATTAGAAGCATCACTGCATGAAATCTGTACACACTGTAAATTGCTATTTTGTAGTGGGGAAAACTGAGGAGGTTTCGTTAACTTGCCCGTGTCCCAGTATTGTGTGCTTAACTTTCTGCTTCCCAGAATATAAATGACTGTGAGAATGGAAATTCTAGTTGCGTGACTTGACAAAAGGATGCTGGAGGGTGACCTTTTAGACCATCCAGGGATTTTAGAAAGTTTCCACCTCCTGTTTTGTTTTGTTTTCTTCCCAGATAGCATCTTAAGTATGCCAGGCTGGCCTTGAAGAAGATGGCCATTGAACTCCTGATGGCTCCTCCTGCCTCTATACCGAGCTCTGGGATTATAGGTGTGTGCCACCGTAGTGGGTATCCATGGCACTGGGGATCAAACTCCAAGGCTTTGTGAATGCTAGGCAAGCACTCTACCTCCTAGGCTAACCCTAACCACCCTCAATTCTCTCTAGGGTGTCGTGGATACAATACTCCAAGGGGCAGCGTGGGGCTTTGGCTCTGGAAAAGCTGAACCACGATGCAGTTCAGGGTTCCAGGTCACCTGTTGTATTTATGCACAGAGATCACAGAGGTCGACATGCAAGGCCAGGGTCACAGGGCCCCCACTCAGAGCTCTCCACTCACCATGTCCTTTTCGCGGAGCTCAGACTCCAGCTCCTCAATCCTGCTCTTCAGCTGGGAGTTCTTCTCCTTCTCCCTGTTTATCTCGCCGCACTGTTCTTCCAGCTGCTCAATCTTAGAGAACATGACAATTCAGGTGAGGGTGCTAACTTAGTCATTAAACATGAGTTTGCCATGACTTCTTTTATGCTTGTGTTCCAAATGAGCCATAAACTACTCCACTTCTATTACCCTATGCTGTCTGCCCCTGCTTGCCTGAGATTTGTTACTTAAGCCCAGTAGGGCCAGTAAGTCATGAAACCTGGCCTGTGTGCTGGGATTCTGGTTTTCTCCTATGGCTACATGGGAGTTGGTTCAGGATTGCTTTATGTATCTGCCACAGGCCAGGTGTCCCCTGGATTGATCTGCTGTCTCCAAGAATGGCTTTGACATCATTTCAATCATGCTCTGAATTCCTCGGTTTCATCAAGGGTTTAAGATGGCCAAGTAGGATTTAGCAACGCTACTGGACAGGAAATCAAAGACATCTCAATCACTGCATATCAAGATGACCCCACCCACCGATACACACAGAAGGGTTTTCTGGCTGGGGAACAGTGTATGGGGGTACTGTCCTCAAGACTGACTAGTAAACTCCAAAACTGCATCTGTCCATGGGCCTGGCCCTGCAAAAGGGACAGCCAGGCAGAGGGGAGTACAGAGCCCGCATATACGGACACTGTCATCAGCTGTTTAGCGTTTCTTGTGAGCAGAGTGGAGCCCATTTACAACCCAAAGCAGACACACTGCATCACCACATTCAGACAATGCCAGTCCATGGCACGAGGCCTCTTTTCAGTGGTGGCTGCAACACTCTGGGGACCTGAACCCTCAGCCCCACTGACACTAATGATCCCAACCCCTATCTGCAGCCTGGAAATCAAGCACTCAAAGAACGAGCTCATCCCAGGGAGACACGCGCCTGCCCAAGCTCCGCCTGCCCAAGCTCCGCCTGCCCAAGCTCCGCCTGCCCAAGCTCCGCCTGCCCAAGCTCCGCCTGCCCAAGCTCCGCCTGCCCAAGCTCCGCCTGCCCAAGCTCCGCCTGCCCAAGCTCCGCCTGCCCAAGCTCCGGGTGCCATCTCCCCACGCCTCAGTGCAACACTTTGGCTATAGCATTCAGATCAGAGCAGAGTAAGAAAATCAGCTCTTCGCTTGAAAAGGAGGAGCAATCAATCCCTCAGGCAGGCAAACCAGCCAGGGCTCAGACAGGAACATGCAAAATCAGCAACTGGCCCAGTGCCCTGTCTGTCAGCATGCTCATGGGGGGGGGGGGTAGGGTGGGGAGGTGGGGGGGATTGAAAATGAAAATGACATGAGGCAGCTCTTCAGATAATTAGCACTCAAGGAGGGTGGTGAGGTGGGGCTCCAGCTCAGCGGCTATGCCCAGGCCAGTCAGGGCAAGGGAAACATGGGGATCAAGGGATGGGTCCTGGACACCCTGTACTTACTGCGGGGCATTCTCTGGAGCCCCATGGACGCACACATTAATCAGTCTAAAACCCGAGAAGCTCTACAGGGCCATCTGAGCATCCCAAACTACCACATCAACACCGCAGAACAACAGGTAAGAGGGACTCCAGGGCTGGTTACATGGAAATTGAGCAAAATTTAAACCTCAGCCATCAAAGGAGCACAGAAAGCATAGCAGTTGGCACTCGCCTTTCTCCTCTCCAAACTCTCCTCTCCTCTCCTTTTTTCTCCCAGATTTACACTTTTAGGACTAATGCCTTAGATGGGAGCAGGGTTTCTGTGGAAATAGGCTCCTCAGCATTCCCAGATCAGTTCTCCCTTACCCTCGGGTTCCCTTTCCTCCACTGGAGAAGCCTACGCCACAGAGATGCTAAGGGAAATTCACCTAGAGTAAAAGGCCAGCCCGGGAGGAATACGGAGGGGGGGTGGGGGCCCTGAGTGGGGGCTCTGGTTCACTTATCCCTTCCTTAGCAACAGAAATTCAAAGTCACTAATTTACATCATTTACATCACTGACAGGGAAAGGTATTCAAGGAGGGGATAAAAACGTCTTTCTCCTGCCCTTCTCCTGCCCATGGGCTGAGGGCGGAGTGAGGGGGGTGGCTAAAGGGAAGAGAGGAAAGGGCCTTGGGCGGCTGTGGCTGCTGCCCTCCCACTCAGCTGGCCAGGCCCTCTGTCCTGCTGCGTGCTGGAGCCCACCTTGCTGCGGAGCCGGTCGTTCTCATCTCGGCAGATGGAGAACTGCTTCTTCCACTGCTCCACGCTGGCCACCGACTCCTGCAGGGCCACGGTGAGCCGGGCATTGCTCTCCCGCAGGGTCTGCAGCTCAGTCTCCCACTTCTTCACATTGGCTGCACTGTAGGGGTGACGGGCGTGCACAATGGCAGAGATTAGGAGCAGTGTCCCTCACACCGCACCTCAGTCTGCTGGGGAATGGGAACTCTGTCTCTCCTCAGCTCACCCCAAGGAAGCTCGAACTCTTGCCTACCAGTCAGCACCAACTGCCCAGAGGGACTGGAGTCTCTCTCTAGTGTGTCACCTTACCCAGTCCTTTCCTTAAACAGCCGCCTTGAAGTGGGGCTGGAATAGCTCTGTTTAAGAGCACAGACTTACATGCTCAGAGAAGACCACTAAACAGGAAGCAGGCTCTCAGCACCTCCCTTTGACGCCCCCCCCCCAGCGTTCATTTCTGTGACTTAGAGACTTAGAGAGTCCAGGTGGTTGCTTTGAATGAATGTGACCCGAGGTGAGGGAGCGCCCAGGTCAAACCCACAGCAAGTTCTGCTGACAGATGAGCCACAGCTCAGGCTGTAAGGGACTTGTCACACAGGCATGGGGACCTGGGTTTGATGTAAAAGCCAGGGCAGCAGTGCATGTTTGTACTCTCCGTGGTGGGAGGCAGAGGCAGGGGGATCTCTGGGGCTGGCTGGCTGCACAGTCTACATGATTGGTCAGTGTAGGTTCAGGGGGAGATAACATCTCCAAAACAAACAAGCAAAAGCCAAATCGCCATAACAAACAAAATGGGAGCTAGGCATAGTGATGTACACCTTTAATCCCAGCACTGGAGAGGTAGAGGCAGGTGGCTCTCTAAAAATTTGAGGCCATCATGGTCTATAGACTGAGCTCCAGGACTATAGCCAGAGCTACAGGGAGACCCTGTCTAAAACAAAACAGAACAACAAACATGGGGCTAAAAGGTGGCTCGTCAGATAAGTGATTGCTGTGAAAGCAAGAGGACCAGAGTTCAAATCCTCAGTACCCATGTAAAAGCTGGGCTGTGCCTGTAATCTAAGCTTTGAAAGGCAGAGACAGACAGACTGCAGAGACTGGACAGTTAGCCAGCCCAGCTCAGTGGTGAGCTTCAGATTCCAGAAAGAAACCTGGACTCAAAAAAACCAGGTGAAAAGTGACGTCAGCAGCCCCCTCTGGTTTCTGTATGTACATGTAAGGTGCGTGTCACCCCACATACATGCACATACCACCCCCCACACAAGACACACACAGTAATTCCAAGTGTATGTCTGTCTCTGAGGTAAATGATTCCTGAGGAACATGCCAAGTTGACTTTTGGTCTTCACATATATGCATACACAGCATACACTTGCTCACACTCGCATGCACCCACACGTGCGCGCACGCACACACACACACGCACAAATTCAAATGCATGCACACCTGCATACACAGCACACACATACACAAAGAACATTTCTACCCAGCTAAGAAATATCCATTTTCTAATAACTAAACTTATCTGAACAATATGTTATCTTTCTATATACTGCCTCATGAATCTATGATGTGATTGGGAAATGCATGCTTTTGGTTTTAAATGCCACACTGAATAAAAAAAAAACAGTAAAATATCTTGATCTGATGGATTTTACAGGTGACAACTGAGAATTAAGCTGATTTAGGGGAATGGCTTCATGGCTATTCCTTTAATTTGCTTTTCACTGAACTTGCAATGGAAAACATTTATTTTTGGGAGCTGGAATATTTTCATCTGGGCATCCCACTGTGACTTAAACAACCAAGAATAGGTAAGAAAGGGGACTGGTCGGTTTTGTCTTTAAAGCACCTAAAAAGAGCCAACATCCAGACGCAGAAGGTGGGCTCTGAAAGCCTCTTGTGCATTGCAATTTCTAGGTCAGCTCACAGGATCTAAGTTCCAAACAGCAGCCAGGATGCTGAGCCAGGGCAACGGATGGCAGCCCTTCTGGGAGCTCCAGCTGGGGCTGGGCTGCAGCTGGCTGCAGAGGTAAGTGAAAGCAAGGCAGTACTGGGAGACACAAAGGTTTGCTGCAGCCATGTGACCTCGGGAAGGGAGTCACTTTACTAACAGTCCAGTGGGGGAATTCAGACAGGGCAGGCCTGAAGGTGAGAGGACTCTGACATGAGGAGTCTGGTGAGAGTAGACAACCTCCGTAGCCACAAGGAGGAGACTGAGGGCCTCTGGCCAAAGCCCTCACCGGGTGAGCACAGTAATTCTGAAGGTGCCAAGCCAGTCCTGAAGACCCAGAAACACAAGAATAGCTTGTGTTGCCATTTAAAATTTAAGTCTTCTTGATATCCGTTTGGGGATCGTGTTAATATACAGAACTACTCAGAAGAAACAGATACCTGAGAACTACCCTGGCTTCTCACCACTTTCCACTGAAGGCCGCTTGTGTTCATCACATGTTATATTCATTTGATGTCACGATGTGTGCAATAAATATGTTAGCTATAAATACATTTTTAAAGATTTGTGTTTTTACTTGTGTGTGTGCCACATGTGTGCCAGGGCTCTCAGAAGCCAAAGGAAGAGTTGATTCCCTGCAGCTGGAGTTATGGGCAATTATGGTAAAGCAGAGGCAGGAAGATGAGGAGTGCAAGGTTACCCTCAGCTACAGAGCAAGTTCAAGGGTACCCTCAGCTACAGAGTAAATTCAAGGTTACCCTCAGTTACAGAGCGAGTTCAAGGTTACCCTCAGTTACAGAGCGAGTTCAAGGTTACCCTCAGCTACAGAGCGAGTTCAAGGTTACCCTCAGCTACAGAGGGAGTTCAAGGTTACCCTCAGCTACAGAGGGAGTTCAAGATTACCCTCAGTTATAGAGGGAGTTCAAGGTTACCCTCAGCTATAGAGCGAGTTCAAGATTACCCTCAGTTACAGAGTGAGTTCAAGGTTACCCTCAGCTACAGAGCGAGTTCAGAGCTTATTAGGCTAAGATCCTGCTTCATGTCCTCCTGAACATTTCTCAACAACTTTATCCCCATGTGCTTTATGATTCTAGTTAACTTTATAAAGGAATCCTCTTTAAAATGTATTTTTTATATATAGGAATAGTTTTGATTCAATGTGTGATTTCATATGATTTTTCATAGTTTTAGATTAAAAACAAACAGAATTGGAGTTTACTGAAGGGCATTTTAAACACAAATCTGAAGCACGGTGGTCAACAGAAAGAAAGGCACAGGACACTTCAGAGAGTGGGTGTGGGCTCCTCAAAGGGAGCTGACATTTCTTAGGGTTTTACATACTTCTCTTGGGTGTCTAACTCTTTCTTCTTATAGTTGAATAAATGATAACTGTTCCTCTTCAAAAACAAGACTCTCTAACACACACTCACACATATTTAATCTACACATCCTCACACTAACACACTCACACACGCTGACTAACAGACAGTGAAGACAACTGGTCCTCCTGTGATGAGGAGATAAAATGTGATGCTCCAAGGAGGACAGTCGTCACTTCCAGTTCCTGAGATGCTGCTGCTTATCACGAAAGGCTCCCAGGAAAAGCAGAGCATGGAGAACAGAGAGTGTGGATTTGGAAGCAGCCTCACCTCTGTGTCAAGGCGATCTTCAGTTTGTCATTCTCAGACTTGAGGTGTGTGTCAGCTGGACTCGCATGTGAGGCCTTCTCATCATCTGTCCCATTGACGCTGGATGCCTGAGTGGAAGATGGGGTTTCACACCCAGATTCCTGGCCAAAGTGAATTATCTTCACATGTTACTACTTCTCCTTACACTGGCAGCAAATTAGGCATAATGAGAAAGCGTGTTTGTGAGTCTGGACAAACCAACTCATTGAACCAGAATACGGTGTAGAGTAATCAGCTAAAGGCCGACCAAGGCCATCAATCCCAGGGCCTAACAGCCATGCCGGAGTTCATAAAGTCTGCATTTTACTGACAAAGTAATACCTGGGACCACCACTCGGAGCTTTTAAACTCAAACTTTATATCCCTATTTTCTGTGTTCAATTCCTGCCACGCTTGACTATTTGGTCTCCTTAGATACCCTGGACAGAAGTTACAATTGTCAAAGGGATTGCTACAAACAATAGAAAGCCTGAGGATTAGTGAATCTGTGAGGATATAGAAACAGTATCAGAAGCAGAGATGATGTACAGATCCCAGGAATGGAGTGCTAGATCAACATATTTATTAAAAACAGAGAAACCAGATACAGTGTTTGCTGGCTTCCATACTGCTTAGCATTCTTATGAATATCCTGAAGTGGTTTTTTGTAATAAACCAAACTACCAGGAGGAAAAACCTCATCCATTCTTGAATAAGATCTTAGATCTTATTTAGCCTCTGACAGACACAAAGGCAAATAAAGGCAATGGGAAGAGAATAATGTATAAATTTGACTAACTTAAATTTCTGCATTACAAAACAGTAATCATAAACAAAATTAAATTGCAAATCAAACCCCAGGGAAAATATATGCAGCAGGGCAGATATTAAAAGTGAAATTTAAAGATCTTTTCCATGTTGTCATTTTTTAATTAAAATTAAGATTTTATTTATGAGAGAGAGTGTGTGTGTGTGTGTGTGAGTGCACACATATAGAACATATGTATGTACATGCAGATATGTATGTGGAGGTCAGAGAACAAGTTTCAGGAATGCATTCGCTTTGACTGTAGTTACCTTGGACTTAACTGGTATCATTCAGTTCACTAGGCTAATACGGCAAGTGCTCTTACCTGCTGAGCCATCTTGATGGCCCAAAAGTCCTCAATTTGTAGTTATATACTGAAATATTTTTAAATGTATTTAGATTTCCTTGAAAACATAGGACAGAGAGCAGAAGTAGGGGCCATAACAAAACAACTGGTCATTGAAGTTCATTATACAGGATATGCCCAAAACTCCCACATAATTAAAAAGTATGTAAAGCCAGCAGCTGTGGCTGTCTGACCAAGCCTTGCATGTGATCACACCAGTCAATAGTCTAGCATGGAGGAGGGAGTGCGAGCCCCCATCCCTAACTGAGGAGCTGCTGGCAGATAATGGCCTCTGGAGGAGGGAGAATCCGTTCTCTTGAAGGTTGTGGTCACTGGTAGGTCAGGCATGCTCCAGTGGACAGCCCCACACCCAAAAGTATAAGGGCAGCACAGACTGGACTTAGCAGGGTGGCGGTGGGGGAGACAGACACATGGGGGAGGTGGGGTGCACATGATCAAAATACACTGTATGAAATGCTCAGAGAACTAATTTAAGTATTGTATTCATGTTTAATGGTGTATTAAAATACGTAAAGCCCTTAGGAAACAATATATAAATACTTTAACTCTTTTAAAAAGGGCAGAAAAGCTATTGACAAAAGAAGAAATGCATAAAACCAATAAGCATAAAAGCATTTATTGTTTCTAGAAATGGAAAAAGCCAATGGAGGTACACTTTTTATCTGTGAAATCCCCACGTTTTCTTAGTGAGGTATGGGACTAAGTCATCATACAAAGTGGAATGTTACTTGGGCATTAAAGCAGATTTGAAAGTGAATACTGAAGACCAAGAGGGAATGATCATGACTTACAAAGAAAAAAAATGTACTAGTAAGGTAAAAATAAAGATATATATTTTCCAATACTGCCAAACTATCTTTCAATGGCAATACAGCACACAATTCATGCTTGTCTTCCAATGGTGGGGTTTGAACTCAGGGCCTTGTGCTTATTAGGCAAGTATTCTACTGCTGAGCTACAACGCCAGCCAAAGAATGGGTGGGCTTTCTTTCTTAATAATATGCTATGCTGTATTTCTTTAATAGCCACACAGAGAACCTGTGTTTTTGTAACATAGCTGTATAACAATTTTCAAGTATTTGGAAAACTTGGTCAGAGTGCTCATTCATGGAAAAGATTCGGGAAAATAAGGATCTGATTGTTCAAAAAAAAAAAAAAAAAAAAAAAAAAAAAGAAAGAAAGAAAGAAAAGAAAAACAGACAATAAAGTATCAGCAAGGATGAACAAAAACTTATTTCTACTTAATATCTTATTAGATACATTTATCCAACAAGATAACCATAAAGCGAAATCTTTTAGATAAATTCAGATATTTAAATTTAAAGACAGTGTGTTAGAACTCTCTTCCAGGAACCATTTCTGTAGCTGTAAACATGCCCATTAGGGCATGGGGGCTGGAGAGATGGCTCGGTGGTCAAGAGTGCATATTACTTTTCCAGAGGACCCCAGGTCAATCGTTGGCACAATTATCAGGTGATTTACAACAGCCTGCAACCCCAGCTCCAGTGAACCTCATACTATTGGTCGCCTTGGCCATCCCCAACACCTGACACACAGATACACATACATATGACTAAATATAAAATTTTAAAAACCAAAGAGAAAATGTCTATAGTTTCTACCCACATTACCATTTCAAGAACTTACCTATGTGACGACTCAGTAATAACGTCATAAAGCAAGCTGTCACTTGGATTAAAGACTATTGAGAAAGGTTCAGGGAAGTTCCCATCTACTTGAACATATGCATAGCATATATTCAGTCCCATAAACTCACCTGAGCGTCTTTTCTATGGTGAGTCCAAGACAAAGTGTGGGCATGCACCTCGACAGACCTAGGTCCTGCCTGTGTGGATCATCCCAGCCCCAAGTCTGCCGGCAAAGCCAGGGCCCCTGCGGACTCTCACCCAGAGTGGTGGCTGAGGGTTCTCCCGCCCATGGCTCTGGCTCCTTGACCTCTTTTCCTTACTTCCTAGGCTTTGGCTATTCTGTTTGGCTCATGGTCAAGTTGAGTGTTGAACATGACTATTTCAGGTCCTGGCCTTCTGGTTCTTTCTTGGAGCTGTCCCCTCCAGCTAGTCCTTTCTCTCTTATACCACAGCTACTCAGGCCAAGCCATTCTTCCCCCAGCAGCCTCCTGAGACACATCCTGCAGTACACTCCTACACCATCCTGTCAACTCCGCATCAGGAGTCATATAGTAACTCCGATGTCTACTGACCACCTAGTTAATGAAATGGATGGCAAATAACAAGGATTCCTGCTCATGACACCTCCAATTTTTGTCTCCAGGCCCGATGCAGAAGGGTACAAGGCAGATGTCCAGGTTGTCTGGCTCAACCATCACATTTATTCCAAATCCCATGTTTGCTCCCAGAGGCTCTCTTTCTCTACTTATAAGATGGTCAAGCCTTCTCTCACCAACAAGGACACCAGTAATTTTAGATCTCAGGTTAAATGGGTCCTTCATAAGCCATTATTATCACACTTTTAAGCAGACAGGCTACTCAAATCCTGGCAAAACCAGATCTCTTTGGACTTAGAGCTTGAGGAATAGCACCTCCCACCTGTCTGTTAAGCACTTCCGCCAGGGAGCAGGAGGTGCATGCAACACTGTAGAGCATCCCACCGGGAACTTCCCAACGGTCACTAAACATTGCCCCACCACTTACCCTGCCTGTCCTCAAGGTTGCCAGACTCCAAGAAAGCACAGTCCTGCCCTTAACCTAGCATGATGGGCCTAATACAGACACTGTGCACTCACCAAGCCCCGCCCCCTCTTGCAATACTGACACAAAGCCTGGTCTTAAATAGGCTAAGTAAGCATTCTATCACCATGATACACCCTGACCTTTAAACATAGTGACTATACATCCTTCCTGGCCTGGAAACTATTGATTGTATCAATAGTTTTCTGTCAATAATAAAGTACTACATCTGAGAAATTCCAAAGTCTCAAAAAAACATGTCACTTCATCTCCCTGAGAGCAAACTAATAGTTGAAAAATTGCCTTCAGAATGCCCTGTGGCTAAAATTACCTATTTCTCACCAAGAGTGACAGGAAATAAGGAATCGCAATTACTGATCACACTCATATTTATTTCAGGAACAAATTACTTACTTGGGAATGATTACTTGAGGTCTCAATTTTCTCCTGGGACTTGTCTCTGGCTAGCCTGGCAGCTTCTTTTACCTCCTGGAATTTCTCTGCAAACTGAACATGCAGAACAGTTATTAGGACTTATTTTAATCTTATTCCTGGCCATATGCAGAAGTCACCTTTATTATTTTTGTATCCATTTTAAGCCTATCAATTCCATTCAAATGGCAGAAAAATCTTTGTCATTAGAAGAAAGATAAGAAATCCCTTTTTCCAATAAACACTGCTGGCCAAGGTCAGATTGGAAGCTTCAAAGTTACTGATGCTAGCTGGATGCAGTAACTAAGAAAGCACAAATCTGAAACCCTTCAGTTAACAGTACCTAACGCAAAGGTGACACAGAAATATAGCCCCTTCACTGGGAAAATCCAAACTCCACTGAAGGAATCAGGAACTTGGAAGTTAATGCCATGCAAATGGAAATGAGGCTGAGTTCAGTGGTGCATACCTAGAACCTCAGAATTTAGGAGGTTGAGGTGACAGAATTAAAAGTTCAAAGCCAGCTCATGCCACATATCCAGGGCAGCCTGATATAAACAATTAGACCCCGGCAGGCAGCAGCAACCACAAAACAAACACCTGAAATGTTGGGGTTGGGGGGTAGTTTTAGGCACAAAATAGAAAAGTGCAGACTATGATTAGATCTTTAATTGTCACACAATTTGCTTTTAAATGATTCAGCAAGATGGACAAAATGTGACAAAATGCTAACGTGATGGTTAATCTTCACTGTCAGCTTGAAACGATTTGCAACCACTTAGGAGACATACTTCTTTGCATGCTGTGAGGGCATTTCCAAAGAGGTTTAACTGAGGAGGTAAGATACACCCTGAATGTAGATACCATCCTATAGGCTGGGATCTGAGAATATATAAAGGGAGTAGGTGCTGAACACCAGCATTTGTCTCTCTGCTTCCAGTCTACAGACTCAATGGGACCAGCCAGACACTTCCTGTCTACAGACTCAATGGGACCAGATAGGCATTTCCTGTCTTCTCTACCCTGATAGACCCCACCCTCAAAGGATGAGCCAAAATAAACCCTTCACTAAGAAAAAGAACCAATACAATGAAAACTGAAGTCTAGGTGATTGCAAAGGGTTTATTCATCGATGTCCTCTATTTTAAAAATGTTTTAATATCTCCACAATTTAAAAAAATCCTGAAGTCAGGGCGAGAGAGCCGGCTCAGCAGTTACGAGCACACGCTGCTCTTGCAGAGGACCTGGGTTTGGTTCCCAGCACCCATGTCAGATGGCTCACAGCCACCTCAACTCCAGCTCCAGGGAACCCACTGCCCTCTTCTAGGGTCTCTGTGCACAGACCCACACTCAGATACTCATACACGTAATTTAAAGGGAACATTTAAAGAACCTTTTTTTTTTTTTTTTTTTTTTTAAAAATGTGGTGATATACTGTTTGTGATCTAATAAAGCTTGCCTGAAGATCAGAATGCAAAGCCAGCCACAGCCATAGAGGCCAGGAGTGGTGGCACACACCTTTAACTCCAGCAGCCACACTAGTTAGCCATAGAGGCTGGGCGGCGGTGGTGTTCACCTTTCATCCCAGCACTAGGGAGGAGTATAAGACAGGGGCTCAGGGTCTCATGCAGCATGCAGTCTCCAGCCACTCTGAGGACAGGATTGCCCCAGCCTTGGTGAAGATGAGAGCTCTCTAGTGGCTGGCTGTTTTGCTTTTCAGATCTCCAGCTTTAATCCCATTTCTGTGTCTGGGTTTTTATTATTCATGACAGTAATCCTGTCAGTTACTGGCTCATAGTCCCCGACTAGCAAGGGGACTGAGTTCACATAGCAGTTTGTTGTCAGTGCAGAGAAGGGCTTGATAGATAATGCTGGTATTATAAATCAGGAGAGGGCACAATGGCAACACCAAGAAACAAGAAAAGCCAGCAGGGACCAAGACCCTGACACCTCTGGGGGGTTTTCTGAGTGCTCATTTTGGGTGGGAACAAGCTCCCTTCTCTGAGTAGCAGTGGGAGCCTGTCAGAGAGCAGGTGCTCGCAAGCCCAGAGCCCCGCCCCACCCATGTAAGGAAAAGCTACTTCTTCCTGGTCCAGCCTACGCTCCCTGCAGGTTTACCAACCAAGCTACAGACATGGGGGCTTCAGACTTGACCATTCCAGAGCTTTCAAAAGAAAATCACTTTATCTGCTGCTTAAAACACACGAGACTCACTGAGAACGGAGAATACCCTTTGGGGGAACTTCTAATGGGGAAGGGCCATGCTTCTTCTTCTGGTAAACTGCTACCCCCACCCCCATCCTGTCCCAGTCCCAGACAGCAGTGTGTTTATTCCTAAGAAAGGAAACAATCCTGTCGAAGACGCGGTCCCTCTCCACAAGGAAACTCCACTTGGAAACTCCAAGTTTGTGAAGTATTTTATTTATACTCAAACAGACACAAACTAAAAAGGATTTTTCAGAAGACAAAAAAGCTTTTAAAGTAGTAAAAGAGGAGAATGGGGCTGGAGACATGTCTTCGCTGTTGAGAGCACTTGGTGATCTTGCAGAGGGGCAGGGGTTTGGTTTCAGCACCCACATGTCAGCTCACAACCATTTCTAGTGTCAGTTTTGGCAGGTTCTGATGCCCTCTCCTGGCCTCTCCAGGTACTGCATGCAGATGGTGCAAAATTTACACACAAAAAATGAATAAATCTTAAAAGTACTATTGATAAACAAAAGAAGCCCTATCAGACACATTTTGAAGAAATGCTCACTTAAAATATACTGTAAGCTGAGCATGGTGTTTCAGGCCTATAATCTCAACACTTAAGAAGCTGAGGCAGGAGGATTTTCTTGGTTATGCAATGAATTCTAAGCCAGCCTTGACTATAGTGTGAGACCCTATCTTACGACAAAAACTAAGCAAACACAACAAATCTGCATGTTATCAGTTGATACAGGGTGAACAGTGAGCCTTGAGAACTGAGCCTTATCAGCTCAGCAAAAATGAGCTTATGGCGGGAGGGGGGAGGACAGCAAATAAACAGGGAAGCTTATTCAGCTATGGTAAGTGGCCAAGGGCCCCTGATGAGTTAAAAGGCAGCTATGAGAAAAGACCAACCTTTAAAAGCCAAACCAGGGTGCAAACAGAATCAAGCATTTATTGGACTGCTAAGCAGCTTGAGGGATAGGACAGCAATCTCCTAAACTTAGAGGCCATGAAAGAAAATCACAGATGTGACAGCGGTGACTACATAACAATTCAAAGCCTTTGAATGGAGACATAAAAACCCAACAACAAACAAAATAAACAAAAAATCCCTACTCAGGAGGGAAACAACAGCCAGAGAAAATGCCCTCAGCCGTGATAGGACAAGACACACACACACACCACTATTTTTTAATAGAGTTTGTACAAGATGAAAAGGAAGAGGAAAATGCCAAGAGATAAACAGTAAAACTCAAGACTGAAAATACAGTAAATAAACGATCTACACAGAGGAATTGTTCTGCCTGGCTAGACATTTGAAGCAAAATAATGAGGTGCTGTTCTGTGCCTGTAAAATTAGCACACACTAAACACAATCATAAACCCTGGTGCTGGCAAGGTCTTTCTGGTAGCATGTTTTGGTACAGCCCCACTGAGAAGCAATTTGGAAGCACATATTGTGAGTGACAAAAATATTCATACCTACTGACGCAGTGATATCACTTCTGGGGAACTGCAGAGAAAATAATTGAGAATATAAAAAAAGGGGCCTTCAATATAAAGATCATAATCCTAGCATTATCCACAATAATGAAAACCTGGAAGAGATCCAAGGCCCCGAGAAGCTGATGGGAGAAGCCATCCTTTCACAGCCCCCAACTACCGGGAGAGCAGAGCCAGGCATGGAAGTCCCCAAAAAGTTATCTTCTGGTGGAGACCACCTCAGGGTCCAAAGCTTTCTAACATTTCTCCTTTACTATATTAAAAAGAACATACACTTGTATTGGAAAAATACTGTGTTAATTCTTTACCATTACCGTGTTTGTGTGTGCATGTGGTGGTCAGAGGATGGTCTGGCAATCAGTTCTCCTTCCACTTTATGTGGACCTCAGGGATTGGACTTAGGCTATGTGGCAAGAGCCTTGCACCTGCTGAGCATCTCAGAAGCCCTAAAAGATGTTTTTAGAACCTATGGTCTCATCAGACATGAACCCTGAGCACACAGACTTTGTATATACATACATGTATTCATCACATCTTTTAAAAATGAAATATTGTACATCTCATTTATAACCACTTTTAAAATAATACTGCCAAGCATTTACATGATCTTTTACTAAATTGTCCTAATAGCTATACAATATTATCCTAAAGGACACACTGGGCTATTTAATACATTTTCATTTATTTATTTATTTGTTTGTTTGTTTGTTTATTTATTTTTAATACAAGGTCTCACTATAGCCCTGGCTGGCTTGGAACTCAGAGATCTGCCTGCCTCTCCCTCCCAAGTGCTGGGACTAAAGACACACATCACCACATCCAGTTAACCAGTTTCTTTATGTTGGCTTTTCTAGTTTCTTTAGCTGATCTTGCAAGAAAGTCCCTGTAGTAGCTGTGTCTTGCTACTAATATTTCCTTACAGCTTCCTCCAGTAAACTCATGAATCAAAGGCTATTCAAAACAGAGTTTTCTGAAATATATTTCCAAATACATGGCTTTTTTTTTTTAATTCTGAGGTCATTTTTTAAAGTTGCAATAATTTTAATCAAAATTATCATTTATGAAAAGTGAGACTACTGCCACTTGATCTTACGTGTCCCTGATTGGGGTGGGGTCATCCTGGAAGCCCTGAACCCTACTTGCCTACTGAAAATTCAGTGTTTCATTCCTTCTATTAGCATAGCAGAATCTCACAGTTGTCTCGGATAGTGAAAAGGAATGGAAGAGGTCTAGGCTGATCATGGCAACCTACTTTATTATCTGTTTCATTCTGGTATGATGTGCTGAGGACCCAGGCTGCTGGGGAGCCAAAGATGATGTATGTCCCAATGCGTCTCAGAAAGTGCTGGGTACCACCCCCACCTCCCTTGTTTTCTTCCTTGAATGCAGATGCAATGAGAACAGCTTGAGAATAAAGACTGACAAGAGGTAAAATAAACAAGAGGCAGCAAACTCGGACCCCAACAGTATGGAAACAGGGTGTCTCAGCCACCGTTGTGTTGATGGAGGAAGCACCATGACCACTCATGAAAGAAAGCACTGAATAGGGGACTTGCTTACAGTTTCAGAGGGTTAGTACATTGTCATCATGGTGGGGGGCATGCAGCATGCATGGTTTTGGAGCAGTAGCTGGGCGCTAGCTACATCCTCATCCATAGACAGAAAGGGAGCCAGATATGCTGGGCCTGGTGTGAGTGTGACACACTTCCTCCAATAAGGCCACACCTCCTAACCCTTCTAATCCTTCTCAAACAGTGCTGCTCTCTGATGACTAAGCATTAAAATCTGAGCCTATTGGGGCCATTCTTACCCAAGCCACCACACACTGCCATGTAGGAAGAGGCCCTACAGATTTCTGCAGCTGGTTTCACTCCAGAATGCCTACACCTGGCTTTGATCTGCCTTTTGTGACTTGCTACCCTGACTCCTGCTCCTGTTTGAAGTCTTATCTGAGAGAGTCCTAGGGGGTCAAAGACTATGCAAACTTGGTTGAGGAAACCCCCAGCACACCAGTGGTGTTCCTTGCATTTGGCATTGTCCCATTTGAGAAACTCAGATAAGATGTTCTGGGATATGGAAATGAACTTGCTAAAGGTTTAAACAGGATAACAATATAAAAAGCCCTGGGTGAAGGGAGATCATCTTAGTGGGCAAGAGACTGAGTCCCCTGTAGATGGAAAGGCTAAAATCATCCACAGAGTACCTCTGCTTTCATTTCACGGATCCGCGTGTACCCACACCCGGTTCTACAACGGTGCCAGCAACAGCCTGCCTCAGGACTCCTCCTTACATAATAAGGCTAATCCTATACATTTAAGCACTGTGATTACTTTTTCTGTTACTTGAAGCCAAAAGTACTCTAACTAAAACATATAGAAGAATGTCTGACAGCCCTAAGGTAAAAAATTGACCTTAAATTAGACAACTGGGAGACAGCGGCTGGGTAATACTCTACGACTACACTGAATTAATAAAGGGAATGCCAGAGGATATGTATGTGGGTTAGAGATTAATTTCAGTTAAAATATGTATCATATTTGTTTATTGTGTGTACACATATACCACAACAAGCATGTGGAGGTCAGAGGACAGCTTGCTCGAGTTATTTCTCCTCTTTCACCGTGTGGTCATTATTAGACTGATGCCCATAACAACCGAGACATCTATTTGGCCCTAACCTAGTTTTGTTTTTGTCGCTGAGGTTAAAATGTGCTGACAAAAAGCAACTTATGAGAGAAAAGGTTTATTCTAGCTCACAGTCTCATGTTCTATTATATCGCTGTGGGTGAGTCACAGCATCGGGAGCTTGAAATACCTGGTTTTATCCACAGACAGCAGCAGAGAGCAATGAATGCTCGCTTGCTTGTGCTCAGATCAGGTTTCCCCACTCTTACACTGTGTAGGACCCGCTGCCTAAGGAACAGTGCTGCCCACAGAGGACAGGGTCTTCCCACATCAACACTTAATTAAGACAGTTTCCTACAGACATGGCCACAGACCAACCCAACATAGACAAGCCCTCACCGAGATCCTTCTCGGGTGATTCTTCATTATGTCAATGACAATTAAGATAATTAGCACACCCCAATTAAAGTGTTAAAGCTGAAAGCAAATGCCACATGGGCATGTGGGTTGACATGCGCTCACCATACGGCAGCGAAGATTCTATTATGGGCAGTTCACCCTAATAAAAGGGCATGTTTCCACTGTGACGAACGGAAAGGAAGCAAGCCCAGAATGATGTGAGGTCAGGGGTCAGAAAGACTAAACATTAACGAGTGACTCACTCTTCTATCTGGTTCTACCTTTGCGTCTTTCCATGACCTCATCTTAGCAGAGAATGCATGCTCCGATCCAACATTCCTCAGTAGGCTCAATTATCGTGTCTTCTCCAGGGGACACATGGATGCCAATTCCACTCCAGCTATACAGAGTTTTAGTATTTTTGGAAAGCCTGTCTAAAGAGCAGAAAGTTTCTGTGTGGTACTCCCTGGGCTGTGGCTGCCCGGCAGTCCTTCTATATGACAGCAAGAACAATGTATATATTTTCTTTTCAGGGGTTGGAGAGAGAGGTTCATCTAAAGCACTCTTAAGTGAAAACGATCACACTGGTCTTTCTTTGTCCAGCTCACAACATCTGATTATTAATCCCCCCACCCCACCCTGTAGGTCTGTGGGTGGCTGCGCTGTCACAGCTGTCCTCAGCACATAAGCCTCAGAACCCCTCGGGCCCACAATCCCTCTGTGTTACCTAACTGCCACTTGTCCAGGCTGCTAGCCTCTATTCATGGCAATTTATCAGTGTGTGGCTAATCGCTCCCTTCGAAGAGAAAGGAAAAGCTGATTTGAAATATTTTGGACAAAGGACATACTTGAGAGCTTGTTTCAGAAATCTGTGATGAAGGCAGATCACACTGTCACAGAGTGGAGATGCCAGTGTTGCCAGAGACTGAGTGATTCAGGAAGACAGGTCACTCCTCCTTAATGACAGGACATCTAGTCCGTCCTGGGGTACTGAAGTAGCATAATCAAAGTCTCTTCAGTTCTCCAAGGCAGGAAGAACCGAACTTTCACACTGACCTACTTTTTGTTTGGAGTTTTCCTTTTGATTCTTTTCCATGTCTTCCCCTTTATCCATCCTCACTATCTGTTTCCTCTACAGAATGAAAGGCACTGAACCAGGAAGCTATGCGCGGTTCTTTCAGACTATCCTGGGCTCCAGGGAACTTCTGGCCCCAGACAGAAGCAGAGACATGTGTTGAGAAGGGCCCAGACACGGCTGGATGCTTCCCCAGCAGCCTGAGGCTTGAAGGTTGGGGGTGAGTGCTGGGTAACATGGGGGATCCCTGACAACTCCTCTCCCTGCAGGCAGCTCTGCAGGTTGGAAGCCACACGAACCCCTGCTCCACTTCAGACCCAGGTCCTGGCCACTCAGTCTCAGCCAGCATCACACGCACCTGTTCCACTCCTCCATTTTACAAGAGGATGTTGCCATCTTCCATCCATCACCATCAGCATCCCAGAGTCTCTCTCGGCCACCCTCATGTCTGAGAAAGCTCTGCCAACTTTTAAAAATTCTTTAAAATTCTCCATCTCTTAACTCAAATTTTCATTAGCTCTACCCTGAAATGAACCTGACTCTATTCAAGATGATCTGGAATGCAAATCTGATCACTTAACTTTTTGTGTTAACGCCCTCCTATGGTCACAAGATAAAACCCAGAAATCCCGGTGTGCCCTACAAGACTGTCTGTAGCACACATAAAAAGGCCAGTGCCAGAGCTGTGACAGCTGTGACTGCTGCTGGAATGACAACGTGACATTCCTGGGGGCATGCCTCAGAACACCCTGGCTTCAGAGCTACACTGGACCCTGGAAAATGGTGAGGGCCAGAGGTGCATAGGAAGGAAAGAAACGGAGTTGGGCAATTTTGTCACTAACTAGTAACAGACTTGGGATTAGCAGTGTTACTGGGCTCAAGTGTAACCAGAGCCTGAAAACAGCCATATTCCATGTGACTGCCCCTTAGGAATCCCCATTCTTCAGAAGACTATCTTTCGAGCAAGGGCTCTGTGGGTGTCTTCCCACAGAGTGGACAGGAAGTGAGGCCAACCTATAAAATCTCAAGGCTGGCTCCTCCATCCTGAAGATTCCACAGCCTTCCCGAACAGCATGAGCTGGGGGACATTTCACATCCTAAACGTACCTGACCCCAACACTTCTGCTTCTTGCCCTGTGTTTCTGGACATGTTTTTCAGCTCCAGGAAATGATACGGGCCTAGTGGATGTCCCAAAAACCACCAGGCCAGTTGAGCTCAGGCTTCCAAAGGAACAGCATTTGTTGGAGATGAACTTCCTTTCCACCACAGACTGCTCAGTTTTCAAGAAGACTGCTGTTTGAGAGAGGAGGCCTCCTCATCCACAGCACCACAGCAGGCAGCTAAGGGAGGAGAGGGCGCTCTGTCTGCACATACCTTCGTGAGCTGCTGCTCCGAGGAGAACCCCAATCCGAACACTGTGTTGGCTCTGCTGTCAGCCCACTGGCCAAACTTCTGTGAGGTTTTGGTGAAAGTCATGTTCGGGGTGATGGTGCTGTTTATAATCACCTGTGGGGAGACAACCCAAGGAAGAGAATGTTGACTCTGCACTGGACCCTTTTCTCCTGACACAGCCCATGGGTACAGGGTACTTCCTGTCTTCTCGCGTGTGCTCCTGGGCTGTTCTGACACAACCATGACAAAAAGTAATTTCAGACACTTGGCAACTTAAGAGTCTAAGATAGGATCTTTCTCTTTACTGATAGGAAAACATCTCACCTAAGAAAAGAATGGTTTCCAAAACTGATGTTTTATTGCCCCCCAGATACTAGCCTTTAAGGGGGCTTTGGTACTCGGTATGTGTACATTCCCAGAAGAGCCGCCCTCTCCCCACCACACCCCACCTCCCTTTTGAAATCCAGCCAAACCAGCTGGGGCCTTTGCTTCCCAAGGGGAAGGAGAAGATTCTGATCTGGGGAGTAGGTAGAGGGCTAACTAATAAACAGACTAGCAGACTGGTGTGAGCAGGGAGACTGGGAGGGATGGTACAGGAGCCTGGTGCTGGCTGTTACCATCCCTTGACCACAAATGAGAAAAGTGGAGAGGACTCAAACCCTGGGAGGAAGGGTCATGGGGACCACGTTTCTACTTTTGTAGTTCTGGTTAACAGAATTGCTGCCATGAAGTAAATGTCCAAGGAACGAATAAATGCAAGAATGCAGCATGTATCAGATGGCCTCTGGGTCAGTCCCATCCACATCCTTAGGGGTTCCCTGAATTTCAGCAGATAAAAGCTAACCAAAGCGTAGCACACAGCTCCCAGTTTTGCTCCTAACAGGCTTTCCCCAGAGTTTCTCACACTATTTCTTTAAAACTAAATAATTCATAAGCTATTTTTCATAAGATATTTTATCTAATCTTATCTTTAAAGGAGAAACTGAGGTTCAACAAAGACAAGAGGCTTGTTCAAGGCAAGTGTGGGTGATAGATGTACTGCTCTCAAAGCAGCAGGTAACTGACTTGAAGAGCAGAACCTGTTCACCCTGCTTAGGGATAAGTCCAGCTTCTTTGACCTGTGAACTCATCAGCTTTGGAAAACTCCCAGCCATTCTTTTCACAGACTGCTGCTATGCCACGTTTCCTCCTCGCCCCTCTTTCCACAACTCTCTCTCTCTCTCTCTCATATGTATGTATGTATGTATGTATGTGTGTATGCTAGACCTTAGGAGCGTGTCGAGCATGTTTTACACTGACCATGTACCACCACCACCACCCTTCTCCTTCCCGGTCTTCTCTGGTTTAATTTGGGCATTAAAAAAAAGATTTAGTTTTTATTTTTCATTATGTATATTGTTGGGGGAGAGGGTGTGCCTGTGAATGTAGGTGTCTGTGGGAGAGAAAGGCGTTGGTTGCCCTGAAGCTGGAGAAATGGGTGGTTGTGAGCCACGCAGCATGGATGCTGGCCACTAAAACAGGTCAGGAGGAAGGAAGAGCACTGTGTGTTCTTAGCCACTAACCCATCTCTCTGGGCCCCAATCTGGGCATTTTTAATTGATCTGTTTTCTACTTCACTGATCTTGCTGGTTGATACAGTCTATCTGCTGTTACATCTATCCACTCAGGACCTTGTGTGTGTGGGGGGGGGTAGGTGAGGGGTGTGAAGGAAGAGGAGGAAGGAGTTTTAGTTACCCAGTTTTGCTCTGTAGCTCCTTCCTCTTTAGCCTCCCCAGGTCTGAGATTCACCACCATTCCTGCCTCTGTTCTGATATTTTAAAAATGCATACCAAGACTAGACATGGTGGCGCACACCTTGAATCGCAGTAATTGGGAAGCAGAGGCAGGAAGATCTGTGAGTTTGTGGCTAGCATGATCTACGAAGTGAGTTCCATGACAGAGTCTACTTTGTAAGACCTTGTCTTGCCCAAAATCAGTCAATCAATATTCTAAATCCCTGAGGTTCTCTTCCCTTCGCTGGTTTTGTTCATTTCCCCTTTCTTTCCTCAATATATTGATGTATTTATTTTAAAGTTCTTGATGCAAACATTAACACAGGGGCCATCTCTGAATCTATCATTACCTGGATCTCCCCTCCTGACTCCAGGCATATGGCTCCACCTTTCTGCAGGTCTAGTCATTTTTTCTTCCCCTTAAATCTCATGCTGAAATTGCACAGACTGCATAGAATGTGACCATCTGCCAGAGGAAGCTCCCATTCTCTGCTGGGTGAATTAGGCAGACAGGAAACCCCTCATCTAGGGCTGTACTGGGTCAGGTTGGGTGTCAGCTTCCAGGGGACTCAGTCTACCTTTGGTTCACTCCTGGACTCAGGGCAGGCTCCTCAACAGAGAGATGGGCAGAACTTGATCTCCACTGCCCTTGAGGACTGTGAAGAGTCAGTACCATCCATGAGAACTTTTCAGCTTGCTTTTGTAGACTATTAAATTTACAGTCTTCCCAACTTGGCTGTTCTCTTAAACTGGCTTCAGACTTGCAATGTAGCGGGGCATGACCGTAAACTCCTGATGCCTAGCCTCTATCCACCAAGGGCTGGGATTATACACCTGTGCCACTACCCCACTAGCAAATTGTGAAGGGGAAATTAGCCGTGTTTGGGGGTTACTCAAGTCTCCCCTTCTGTCACTTAAGCAACGTGAGCATCAAGATCTCCACTGATTTCCCTACCGGGAGCAGCCTTTCTGTTCAGCTCTGTGCACAGCCTTCAGCTGTCAATGAGTGTTCCGGTGACAGGGTGTGTAGAGGCCCAGTGTCCCAGTGTCCATCCCTTACTCTCTCTGGGGCTTTCATGATTTTGTGTATTGTAAACTCTTGGCGGGGACTTGGTTTCTGTAAGTTAGAAAAATGTCTGGGGGGGGGGGGGAGCCAGCCATTTTGAAGTTCCTTAGTCTTCAGCTTTATCTCTTTGGCCACTGCTAAGTGTTGATTCCCCTCCCCCAGCAGTATCTCTGTCAGAGCCAAGCCCCAACCTTCAGCCTGAATCCAGAATTGGCAAATGCTTGCAGGAGAGAGGCTGCCCATCTTGGCTCTGAGTGGTCCCATCTCTCTGGACTTCTGGTGTCTCTAGCCCTCATCATTCTATAGCTCTTTGATGCCCTTAAATCATATTTATGGAAATAGGGATAAGCTTGTTAGTGTGGGTGTAAGCTCAGCTACTTTCCTAGTCTGGTAAGCAACATTTCCCGTATTCATTCAAAGCAGGAATCCCAGACCACTCAACACCTGCTCATCTCTTTCCTCCTCCATGTATAGCATGTGATGAAAAGCAGAGAGTAAGGAGCTGGCAGACCACAGCGCATAACCCACAAATTCATCCTGCCCCCTTCTTCTGTCTTCCAAGCAAAGGGTCCATCCTCTCAGTTGGAACCAAGCTTGTCCCTGTGGCCTTGGGTCCTGTGTCTTTGTCTCTGACTCTAGAACATTCCCCCCATACATACAATCATGCTGTGTATGACCCTCCATGGTAACAATAGGTTGTTTGTCCTTGGGGCACAAGATGCTGACCTTGCAGAACTCATGAGGGTTTTGCAGAGGGAGCTGCAGTGTCTTCCTCATTCCTCATTAAAAAGGTCTGTAGTTACCAGTCCCTGTCATCAGCATGAAGGTGCCAGCCCTTATCTGCAAGCTGGAGGTGAGCCAGGAGAGAGAAAAGTTCCCTGCAGGCTCCACAATGCCTTAGCTGGTTCTAAACAGTTTACTTAGGGTTCTGAGACTTCCTAGATGAAGAGGGAGGGAGGGAGGTGGCCAAGGAAAGCCATTGTTTGGTACTCCAGCATCGGTTTACTGAGCCTTAACTACCCAAGGTAGTTAGTATGAGCAATGTCACAGCCAGAGTAGTAAGCCCAGATGTATGTAAGTGACAGCTGGCTGGCTAACCTCCCAGAAAACCTACAGCATCGACCTCCACAAGAGCAGCAAGAATGACACCCACAGTGAGCATGATGCCAAAATATCTCCAGTCTCTTTCCTTCTCTTGCCACTGACAAGGAAACAGCCTCTGGCGACACCAGCTTTGTCATCAAGATAGCCCTTCAGACAGGCTGGGCAGCATCTGGTGAGGCCTGCCCCTTTCGTGCCTGCCCCTCCCAGGCTCTGTCTGTCCCTTCCAGCTAAGTGTATTTGCACCTGGAAGGCTTGTGTTTATCTAGGAGGCTAACCCAGCTTTGGCTCTCACCCTTCTCCAGTATGGAGGAAGGAAGGAAAGAACATGAACACATACCCAAAAAAACCAAACCCTTTGAAAAACATTGCTTCTGGTTTTTGGAAAAGTGCCTTGCCCATGCTGGCCTTGAACTAGAAAACCTCCTGACTTAGATTCCCAAGTGTTGGATTGTAGGCGTGTTCCTCCAAACCCAGTTGAAAAGACCCTGTCTTCATGCATGCCAGAGGAAGGAATCTGATCCCATTACAGCTGGTTGTGAGCTATCATGTGGTTGCTGGGAATTGAACTCAGGACCTCTGAAAGAGCAGTTAAGTGCTCTTAACTGAGCCATCTCTCCAGCCCCATGAAAAGACCTTTTAATCTGCTGTGGATCTGCAATGCTGAGCACACTGTGCAGCTTGATGGGGCGGGGGCAGCTGAGGTTCAGGACAAAAAGATGGGAAAACCTAAGGGAGTAAGGGCAGCTTAGTTCTGGGGAAGTGAATGATCTGCTCCTGGGAGACTAGAGAGAATGAGCGAGGACAGCAGGTTGATGGGCAGAACTTAACAGCTCAGTTTTACTAGCAGTGTGGAAACATATGATGAACACCATCAAAGTAAGTCCGATACCATCAAGGGTTTAGGCAGAACCCTTGGCTCCTTTAGTATGGAGCCAAGAAGCCGCCATAGGTTGGCAAAACTATTAAAAATAATGTGAGTTCTTAACATTTAACAACTGCACTTCTGAGCATGGGAAATGTCCAGGAATGCTCACCGTGGCAGTGTTTGCAGAAGCAGCATCCACTACCAGCAGGGTGTATAATAAACTGTAGCACATTCATAATGAAGTGTTATCTAGCAGGGAGATTAACCAAGACTATGGGCATTAGCATAGGCAAGTCAGAAATCAAAG